CATAACCCCGGAGGGTGGTGCTGAGATGAGCGAGGTCTGCGGCCTGTAACAAACTCGCAATGATGAGGTGTACTATATCGAGTAAATGTAAAATGTAAAACTGTCTGATCAACTGCCCTGTGATCGAGTGGGTAGCATGCTTGCGTTCTGACTGTGAGGTCCCTGGTCCGATCCCCAGTTGGGTCGATGGATTCGCACTGTGCTGATGAGACCCAACCAGATCGAAACAGTTGTGCAGTGTTTACTGGCTTTTCAGCTCACGCTTAATTTCCTAAATATACACGACAAACATCTCATTTGAAATTGAACCAAATCCACCGTCACTCATTTGAAACAAGTAGTAAGAAAAGCAAGTTTGTTTGGGCCATAGCTCACGACTCGTGAGATTTGGTTTCCAGTTGTAAGTGATGAGTTTTGCATTTGTACTATGCAACAGTGATCTGAAAACGTTACAGTTTTCTAGATTTTATATTACCTCTAATTTTGCTTTCCTAATTTGGCAACTGAGTTTATATTCTAACGGCGGCCTCGCAAGTGGTTAATGTTTCACATATTGGAATGAAAATGCATCAGCATCTCCATAGGCATCTAGACAATATGTATTCGGTTAAACTGTGAGTTCCACCTGTTGCTTTAATGAGACCGTGTTAGAACTCAGAATTGTCGTGCTTTGTGTAATTAACCGTTTACATATCGATTCAGATTTGACTATAACATATACGAGATGAACCTCTTGTCCAAACAAGTTTTGGACCATTTTCCGCCGTCCTATATTAGACAACATACATCTACAAGCCCTTATTACCCTGGAAAGTCACATAGCCGATTCTTTAAGTGGACTATACCAAAAATTGTTTGCAGATACCGTGTTTCATTAAGAGTGGGAAAATGGTGTCATTTCACCAATTTACAAAGATGAATGCCGTAGTGACCCAGCCAACTTCCGATCCGTCCCTCTCCTTCCACTGTTGTCCAAAATCATGGAATTCATTGTTGCAGATTCTGTAATGGATCATCTGGAGAATAATGGCTTACTATCCCCAGCCCAGCACGGGTTTCGAAAAAAATCGTTCAGGTGCAACTAACTTGATTTTGGCTCGGGACGATGGAACTCATGCTGTAGACCAAGGCAAATGGATAGATGTTATTTACCTGGACCCCTCTAAAGCATTCGATAGAGTAAATCGTCAAATACTGATAGGGAAGCTGTATAACTATGGAATCCGTGGACTCGTACTTGGCTGGATCGAGGAGTTTCTTCGCCTGCGTACCATGTCAGTTCGTGTTTCCGATTCACTTTCTGATCCAACAGACGTCATCCGTGAGGTTTCCCAGGGATCTGCAGTAGACCCACTTCTTTTCTTTGCCTTTATAAATGATCTTCCAGACATCCTCGGACCACAAACTGTGCTGTTTGCAGACGATACCAAAATATGGAGGACAATAACAAAACCAGATGATTCAGTTGATCTTCACAACGTCATTGACGAAGCCCACAGATGCTCTGTTTCCAATGACATGGAATTCAACGTTACCAAATGTAAAGCCTTATAAGTACGTCACAATGGTAGTTTTTCCTACACTCTGGGATACGAAACTCTGCTTCATGCTTCATCCGAGAAAGATCTGGGAATATTCATTCGCGCAGACTTGATTTCCTCCACAAACTGTTCCAGGGCATCGTCCATGGCGGTAAAATAGATTGAACTGCTTAAACGTGTTTTTGGATCACTTGATCCGGCTTTTTTCACGTCTGTTATCCACATATATCCGTCCATACATCGAGTGCTCAATTCAGGCCTGGAACCCGTGGCTGCGGTGAGATCGGAAGGCACTCGAACATCCGCAGCGAACGGTTACCAAAAGTCTACAGTCCAAGACCTATGGCGAAAAATTACAGCTACTGGAGCTTTAGTTGTTTCGATATCGTCAAATCAGAGGCGATATGATCTTACTGTATCGGATTTTCCAACAGCCCAACCATCCATGTAAATCTCTTTTGGTTCTATCANCCAATGTCCATCTCAGAGGGCATCCACTGAATTTCGCACTCCAAAAAAGCCTCCTCGACTGCAGTAAGAGTGTGCAACACATGAAACTGTCTACCAACTCACGTGCTCTGTGCACCATCATTAGTTTCTTTCAAGTGTCAGCTTGATGATGCTCTGGCAAACATTATGTGTTAGCAGCCAGCCACATAGAATATTCTCCTGTACTCGTCCAAAACATTGCATTACTATTTTACTTTCATAGACTAACTGTAATCTTGTGAATCGTGTTCCGAACCAAAGTGGTAACACCCTGTTGGATTTGATAAGCGATGTCTTTGTAAGTTTTTTCCCATAACAGAAATTTGAATTTGGTTACGCCAGGGCTTTGCAACCAAGGCCGAAGTGAAAAGAATAGCGCCGTGAAAGGTACTTGTCCAATGTGGGCACGTTTGCTGTCTGAGTGGTAGGCATCGTGTTACAATTGTACATTCATGTGCATCCCTATTTCGGTTCCGAGATTGTCTCAGTCTTGACATGTCCACAGAGCACGCTCGACAGTTTCATTTCAGATAACCGGAGTTGAACTGGTAAATCTGTCGTACCTATAACGGACAGTCCATCGCCGCCACCATCACGTTTCATTTGTCACTACTCTGAACGGACTGACGCTTTTCGAACCCGTCAGATAATTCTATCAACAAACAACAGGATTGCATCACGGATATTTGGAATAAGTGTGTGCAATACCTGTCACGTTTAGCAGTTGGCGTAAACTGCTTGAAAAAGGTGAAATGTTACTCTTTGTTAGCCATTTAACCTCTAACCCCGTAAATACTGCTCAAATCTTGAATGTGCTCAGCCGGTTTGCCATGAAAAGCCATTAACACCTCAAAACCATATGGAACCAGGCGTAAAATACTATTTTAGCTACAATATGCTGATGCTGTTCGCCACATCGGTTTGAGATGGGCAATCTTCCGTCCGGTTCTACTGTTAACCTCACCTATCGACCAGCTCTGCTTCCCTCATTAGATAGTCCAGCCATCACCTTGTGTGGCTTGATTGAATGACATCTAGTTGTTTACTGAAGCCTGTAATTGTTCAAATTACCAATATTGAGAGGTCCTACTCACATTTGTGAGTAGTATGTTTGAACTGCGCAAAAGGATATGATTAGCGGTTTCTCACAGCGGTCAAAAGGTAACAAGACCGCTTAGAGTGAATGTCTGTGTTGAAAAAGGGTGACTATGATCCGTTCCATTCATTATCCTTTGCGCTTTAGGGAATTTTGATGACCTCTTTTGAAGGAGACGTCTTGTTGTTTATATACCATATTATCCATACCCTTGTTGTGGTTCTTAATAAACAAATCTCCTCAAGATGGCGCTGGTCTTTTGAAGACATAGCTGTTCTCATATCAAATGGTTAATGATAGTTCTGATTATTGATGCAGTGAATACAACTCTACTGAATAATTTGTCCAGAAAACATTGAGAGCATGCTTTCAAATGATATTATTCACTGTCTAAAGTTCCAAAGTGTTGTTGAGTGACTGCTAGAAGATAATGATAGCCAATATCGATGTCGGCTTTTTCACTTTGTCCTTTTCCTATGAAGGAAGGTTGTGTAGTTTTCTCAGACTTATTCTGTTTATATCCTGAGCCAGTTGAATGTGACCAAAGCGATTGCGATGAAACCGTGTGCGTTTAGAAACTGAAAAGCAAATAAAATAAGACAGTCTCATTTTAATTGTATGCGGCTGAAAACTTAACACAAAGACACTTACACCAGTTGTTACATCATCCAAACGGTAACATGCTGTGCCAAGTTACTCAAATGTAGTGATTGAAAACTCCTTTGCTGTCCTAGGTGTAATGAATTACTAATTTCGGGTACTTTGATTGTCGAGAAACGATTTATAATATTGTTCAGGTTTCTGGCACTCCTCTGGTTAGAAAATTAAACAGAGTACTTTAAACAATAACATGGTAATAACCCGTATTCTATTATTATGAAACAGAAGTACAATCAGTGGTCAATATTGAGCCAACNNAGCCAACGCTAAATCCGAGGTTATTATAGTAAACGGGGAATGTGTCGGTTATGGAGCAAGTACGACTAGGCAATTGGTTGACAATACACAATAGTCGAGCATTCTAGAAAACGTTTAACACACTAAACGATTGCCGGATTGTCTTGGACTAAAAAACAGTTCATTTTAAAGGCTGTTCAGACGTCTCAGGCACTTTTGATTGCATTCAAATGAATTGGAATTTCAAGATAGATTTGATTATTGTGCGACGGAAATGGTTGTGATAACCAACAAAGAGCACTGGACAGCTGTTTCGTCCTGTTTGGGACTCATCAGCAGTGCGTGCTTTTTGTGTCCCTGTCAGGACTCAAACCGCGAACATTCAGTTCGGCACTTGAAACCCTTACCCTTGGGCTACACGGTCGATGGTTACCACCTTGTGCGAATGGCTCAATCAATTTAGATGGTGAATGTTTGGATTAGCCCATTCGCTTTTTCACAGGCACCAGGCACTGTTGATGATGTTCAATGTGGGTTTCACTCCTTGGGAGATCGTTAATTCCCCACCGTTTGTTTGCATTTTTGTGCGATGGAAATGGTTGTGATAACCAACAAGGAGCACTGAACAGCTGTTTCGTCCTGTTTGGCACTCGTCATCAGTGCGTACTTTTTGTGTCGAACATGGTCAACAGTGCCTGGTGCCTGTGAAAAACCGAATGGACTATTCCAAAGATTCACCATCTAAGTAGGTTTGATTACTCCACTCATGGTAGGGATTTCTTTGCATCAACCAGAAGATTCCAGGGTTTCTTTGGCTACATGATCAACTTCATCCATCGCGAAGCAAAAGAAAAGTTCACAGTGAAGCTCTGAAACACTGTGAGCCATTTTATCTGGTCATTTTTCAATGAAAGTCACAAATTCAATAAAGAGCTCAATCTGAGAGCTTGCCCATACGGGGAACGCAAACATAGTACTCAATTAACCACTTGGCTACCGACTAAACCCTTGTTTACCAATACAGTATAGCTAATCAATCCACCTTGACCGGTTTCTTCAAAATATTTATCCTCAATCATCCGAGCTCCCACCAGACAAACGGAATCAATTCCAATAGTGACAGGTTTTGTACTGAGTACACTTGTCTAGCGAAAACATAAACAATACATGCATCTAATGCATTGGTAAGCATGTGCAACACAGCTTCGAACATGCAACATCACGACGGAAAGAAGTGTATTCGGACACGAATAACAACCTTAGAAGTGTCTTTGGCCAATCGACCGGGATCTGTTTATAGATAAAAGTGTACTCAAGCATTAGAAGCAAAAGCTGAAAAAAAGAAAATATATTTTTCACAAAATTGTGAAGTCGTGTGTTCGCTGAGCTTGGCGTTTAGATCGCAAACGTTTCATCACCAGCCGAGGTGACATCGTCCGTGCGCACGGACGATGTCACCTCGGCTGTAGATGAAACGTTTGCGATCTAAACGCCAAGCTCGGCGAACACAAGACCCCACAAACCATCAACCTGAGCTAAAAACCGCACCCATATTTTCACAAAATATGTGGCTTCTGGTTTCATCTGTACCGAATAAAATTAGAACTTTACATTTATGCACATGACAAAAATGCATTCTACCGGAGTGGAGCTTACAAACTAGACTGAAGTGACGATTCGCAGTATTCAACTGGGAAATGTAGCCTAGCACTTCAGAAAATGCAATCCTTGACTTTTTCATTGGAAGGTAATAAAAACTCCGGTGTAGCGAAAGAAAAAAAGCCGCAAAATCATAACGAAATTCTGTCGGTGAACTAAAGATTGCAGGTTCTTCATTTGCCCATTTGTATATTTTGATCAAGCATGGAGATGTATATCAATTTAATCTCACCCGTCTACTTTGCTACAATATGCTGATCGTTTTTCTGTGGTTATCCTTGCGTTTACATCCTCTCATTTAACCACCAAAATATATATTTAAAATAAAACATTTAAAAGACTAATTCTACTCGATGTCACATCTGAGCCGGTTAACGTACTCATAAAAATCCACTTTTTAAGTTTATTTACTTTCTTTATCGAATTTATGACCACCGTGATGCATTGTGGTGTATTTTGCATAAATTTTGCAAACACTGGAGCTTACATTTTAGTTAAAATCTATACAACTCAACCGTCACGTAGGGAATAGGTAACGGACACAGTGTTCTTATTTAGCATAGGACCACTTCAAAGTCAAAGGTGAAGACAAAGTTCAGTTGTTTCCGTCTCCTTTGGTTTGTATGCAAATGCTCAAATTAGGGGATAGTAGAATTTCGATAAACGTATATACGAGTTGGCACATAGGACACGAAAAACGAATCATTGTAAACAAGCAATACAGTTCCCGTTTGAGTTGTATTCGATTTCACGATGGAGCCGTTCTTAAGATAACATTCCGGATTCCGTTCTTATAGGTTTTTTTCATGTATTGTTTTAAACAGGATTGCCAACATGTAATTCCGATGAAAATACTTGTGATGACAGACAAAGAGCCCTGGACAGCTGTTTCGGACAGTTGTTCGGGACTCGTCAGCAGTGCGTACATTTTGTGTCCCTGTCAGTGCTCGAACCGTCAACATTTGGGACTTCAAACCATTACCCCAGAGCTACATGGCAGACAACTTGCCAAGACGACTGAAGCTTTACTCAGGTTTTAGCATCGTGTTGTTTATTTTAACCATGTTTCGTTCATATTTTCGAAGGCGTTTCCAAGCCTGCACAACAGCACAACCAAGGGGGGACAAACGATGCCGGTGGTGACAATACGGGATCCAATAATTTTGCAGAACATTAAGTGTACGTCATTTATTTCCTCCGTGAACTGCATATACCTTATTCAATTAAACTTTACTGGCCTGCCACTTTATAGGTCCGAAATGGTAAACGCAGATAGGGGTTACAAGGCATCCTGATCGAAAGCATCGAGCACCAGGTCCATACCGTGGCATGGAGTAATGGTTACAAGCTTACCTAATAAAAAATTGCATATTTCTAACAGCACGCAGTTGTTTTGCGTAAGAAACAAAAGCGACGGAAAATTAATGACGCAGTTGTAATAGCACTTACTGTTGCCGAGGATTTCTCCATTGGTACGGGTTTCAAATAATCGACGTTGGGAATTTCCTGTGTATCACCCCGAGCTAGAAACAAATTTCCCCGAAGAAAATTAAATTACTAACAATCCATGCTCATTGCAGAAAATAGCAGTGGTTGTCCGCACACTGAAGGAAAGAACACTTTCAAGTTTCAGTATTGATTTATTTTTCCGTACCCATAATAGTGAATAACTGTTTCTTATTTTGCATTCACTTTCGCAGTGACTCACTCACGCACTCACCTGTTTCCCAGTTCATGTTGCAGCCCTCTTTCTTACAACAGGCCTGTCTCCCACCCGAACCGGATAATATGTTGTCATACGGGGTACACTGACGACTGCAATAACGATTCGTAGTGTTCAGAATGCCATCCTTATAATATTCTTGAATCTGAGTGGGATAAACAGAGAGGAGTGGATCAAGTTTTAATATCTACTATCGACTTCATTGATGTGGTGAAATGTGTATGCGTATGCGATCGTTTTCTGCTAATTGTGGGTCACGCATATGTCCCGACGGATATATTACGTTTCAGTGCAAATTGTTCATGANATGATGGATTGTCGAAAAACCACAAGAAATGATATACACATCCTCCCTAGATGGTTTATAATGAGCTTTGAATGTTTGCGCTAGCCTAAGTGCATCTAGTGACTATCCGCTCGTAAGGATTGCGGACCTGCGATATTCTCAGATCAAAAATCTATTCGTGTTTATTACGTGGCTAGCAGACGACATTCTATAAAACTCTGGAGCCAGCTGTGTCGTTGCTAATAACAAATTGTTCGACACCAATAATCCAAACTGTTCTCAGCGCATCCATGAATAGGGATCCAGTTAAGCCTGACGTGAGGTCTATCACTAGAGCAATAACTGCGTCAACTGTTCAATATAAAACAAATCATCTTGCGCAGCGTCAGAACAACGTTTCGATCAATCGAATGAATTTTCCCTTCTTCACTCTTTGGCGGGGGGATGGGGAACGGCCAGAGAGAAAACATCGTTACGCCTGCCTGATCTTTATCCATTTTGTTTATGGACAACACAACGTCCTCTGAGTATCCTTACCACAATCCATATCATTCAACAAAAAAACATATTACGGTATCCAGTGTAGGCGTTTGGTCAAACGCACGCCAGATAAGGACAATAGTACGGTGGGAACGACTTACACATCGAGAATCGGATGAATCCTCTAGTATATCAGAGAGTTTAATCCCTTCGTAACTCAGATGTAAGTTGAATTGATCTGAGGATTTGCATAACAAACAGTCTCCGAAATCGTCGGTATCGTCGGGGAGGGGGAGTGTCTGGGGTTAAGACTCGTCAACCTTCTCTTGCACCTCTCGAAATGCTCCCATACGACCAAGAGTACCAAATGGCCTATGCTGAGGAAGTCCTACTCACTGCCCCCTCGTGGCAGAGGTGCTTTTCCACCGAAGTGAGAGGACGAAAAGCCGACATCCAGGGCTATAACCGGGTTGGTGGACCACTGACAGTTCACCCATGGGAGTCGGTCAAAAACTCTGATTCCAAACCAACCATGAGGAGGCGTACAAACCACACTCGCACCTTTCCGGTTGTGGCAATGGTCACCGGCTCTAATTGAGCATCTTGGACGTTTGACCCCGTCTAAAAGGTGTATGGTCCGATGAAGTGAATATCGGCTCCCAATGGACTGCGGGTTTCACACACCGCCTTGCTGCCTTGTGGGTCAGGCTTTGGTTAGCCGAAATCTCCGGTCCTGGAGTCATCTGCCGTGGCCTGGACAACCTGGCGGTATTCAGCCCACAAGCGAATCATGGAAAGTTCTGTTTTATAAAGATTATTGCGCCATGATTTGTTTGTTTGGCACACAGTCTGAACTCAGACGTGTGTGAAATACATATAACAAACAGCTATACACGATTAAGGAAATTTACATTCCCGTGGAATTCGAACGTGAATCCGATGAACACCATTTTGCGGTGCAAACTGTTCCAATTCGTCAGCAAACTATATAGAGAACGAGTGATCACGTTCTTGCATCGTTTAAAGGTAATAAATATTGTTTTTTTCTCCCAGAAACCTGATGGAATAGCACCGTAATTTAAACTTACCACACGACTGATGTGACTGCCGACCAAACTGCAACCCATACCCCAAATTGAATAACGTCAACCTCTACACATTTATTCCTAAAGAATCAAGCGACCCCCTGAATGTGTCTGTGTCCGGCAGATCGAAACACGGATGCAACTCTAATTTGGAGTAAGTTCTAACCCCATCTAAACAAACATTTGACTAACTCATCAACCTTTGTAGTACTGGGGTGTCAGTAACATTCTAAGCAATGAAGGCTGGTTTTAATTTGCTATTGAAATAGGCTGAGTAAGACGCGATGGTGAGAAACTTCTCCTGGACAATGATTCATCGCAACCCTTGAAAAAACCGTAGCTGTTGAGTTAATTTCATCCGTTCATCCTGGTTCTATATCACAAAAATCAGTTTTGTTTTCACTTGATACAATTCCCAGTTTCTCGGGTAGTCTTTTGTGTATAATGGCACTGAATGTTTAGGATCGCTCAACCGCTCAATCCGTTGTGGTTCTTTCCTCGAACTGAATTGCTTCTCATCTATTCATTCATCTATATGTTACATTTTCCCTATGTCGTTTAGTTGGAGATTTCAACGATCCTCACACTGCTTATCAGGGTTTGCCCAATTTTGTTAACTTTCCCACATGTCACCATGCCAACAATGTTCAACGCATTGTTTGTTAGCAAGCTTAACATTTCTTCAGTTCATGAAAATATCCCATTAGCACCTGTGATCACCAATCGATTGGAGCTCAGTGCAAAGTGCTGTGGCGGACATAGCCACTGATGAAATAGATACTTTCCTTCTCGAGTTATCAAAAGATGAAACAATGACCCCACAACTTAACAGCTATCTGGCGAATGCCTTCTTTTTGCATTCTTCTATGTTCCCCGATACCGTATCTTTTCTTCGCACTAAATGAACATCTTTTAGAATATCTCATTTCGTCTTATGGTCATGCTCTCCTATTGAACCCGCGAGCCGATTGATTTTCCCTCGCAAGAAAAACAAAACGGGCCCTCATCATTCAATCAAGCCCCCCTATACCCATCGCTGACGCGGTCAACTATGAAGTCATTTTAGGCGACAAGAACATGTGGGCGATGTGGTTGGCTTTAAAACCATTTGGCACAAAACAGGGACAAACGTCAATCTGATGTTGGAAATCAAAATCATCAATATCTTCCTCTTCCCTAACAGTTTTCTAACAAAATGCACCTAACGAACCCCAAAGAGTGTCCATCAAAGCTGATTTCACTGTAACTGTTAAAAGGATGTGTTGGAAACTATCTAGATCCACGGATGATGAAGTTCAGTTTGCGCAATTCCGCCGGAGCGATTCTTCGGAGCTGAATAGCTTCTGGTCAGAGCTACTCCCCTGTTTCCCACTAGGGAGTAGCATCCCATCCCGTTAGTAATATCCCATTACATGCAGCCTTGTGTCACTGAAGGTCTTTGAGAACGTAGTACAAAAGTGAGTTCCTTCACACAAACAATCAACTGACGCTTGTCAGACTTGGTATTGATTTTTCTATTTACGGTTTGATGTCACCCTCGTAATTTGTCTTCACTGTGTTCCGTCCCCCTTTGAATAAGTAACTACCTCAGAACATGGAATTTCCTTTTGTTAATTAGGATGGTGGCTCTCCACCAAATATCTGAATCATTTTGAGTGAGAACTTAACAAAACGAGTATAGTTTAGCTCCTATCGCTCCGAACGTTATTCTGAATCTTTTGTTAATTCTGATGTGTTTCAGGCAGTTATATAATGTCTTTAATGAAACGCTATAAAGCATTGCACAGCTGTTTTGATCCGGTTGGGTCTCATCAGTATGGCGAATCCATCAACTGGAGATCGGACCCGGACGTAAGCATGCTACCCACTCGTTCATCGAGCAACTGATCAGATCCTTTTTCACTTTATTATATCATGTAAATGGAAAACGAAAAACGGCCTGATCAGCTGCCCAATGATCGAGTGGGTAGCATACTTACGTTCTGCCTGTGAGGTCCCGAGTTCGATCTCCATTCGGGTGGATGGGTTCGCACTGTGCTGATCACAGCCAACCAGATCGAAACGGCTGTGCAGTGCTTGCAAGCATTTAAGTTTAAGTTTCATTTGCTATATACACAACGAATTTCACCTTCGAAACTGAATCAAATTCTCCATTACTCACATGAAATCTCTTTACTTCTTTGTGCCTTAAATACCATGTCCGTTCTTTCGTCGTTTTCACGTGTGTACATGATTGGTTCGATGAGTGTAAATAGAAGGAAATGTTTTCAATCAGTTTTCTATTTAACCAACTTTTGCGACTGATCTATGTCTCGCTCATCACGCAGTTTATATGTTGTCAATCAGACGTCCTGTGCACAGACTGGTAACACGAAACAGGATTTAGTTTGAAAATTCACCATATTCTCCCACAGATGGCGGGGGTGCATGTGATGAGTTATTGTGAATTCCAATTCAACGCTACAGATAACTAATAGACACGTTTCTGAATATGTACATATATATATAAATACATATTATTTTATCTATCCTTATCAGAAATAGAAAATCGGCTACGGACAAGGTGTATGGTGACAAATGAACATTTAAATTCAGTTGATCGTTCAGTCAAACCGCGAGAAATCGGTTTTGTACACCTCGACAGGTTGGCATTCGGCTCCCACAAAACAATCAAATGAAGATTTGATAAATGTAACCTCAGTGACAATGGTGATATTGAAAAATGTTGCGGCCAGCTCAGGCTCACTCACTATGCAATATTTACATCCACCCGTCCTTTTGTTTGCCGGTGATCTATAGTCCATACAAGGAGTGCAATGATAACAGGATACCGCGTCCACTTGAAAACCAGCTGAAAATGGTTGAATCGGATTCAATTTGGATCAAAATCAGATGTGTGAACTATACTTCACTTCGCAGGAAGAAAAGTTGTACAGTTGTTGTATCTCTAAGTCCTGCTTGATGACAGTTGTATAATAATTCTCTTTAATGGGTAGATATTATAGGAAGCATTTACTACCTTCTGGTGGTAGTGATGATGAACGTGGTGGTGGTGGTGGTGGTGGTGGTGGTGGTG